TGGTTAGTGGACACATGTTGAAGTATGTGGGGAATAAAAATACTGATGTCTGGAGTGTGTGTGAGGTGCATAAAAAATGTAGATAAAAGGAGCAGACATGTGGAAAGCAAAAAGAGTAAAATGGTAATGGTGGAATCCGAGCAGTGGCTGTATAGGTATGCACCGTACATGTTTTGTTGGTTTTTTGAGACAGGTTCTCACTATGTAGTTGAGACTGACCTGGAACTCACTGTGTAGCCCAGGATGGTCTCAAACTCAGTGATCCTCCTGCCTCAGCCTCCTGAGTGCTGGGATTACAGGTGTGCGCCACCATGCCTGGTTCTCTTTTGAATTGTATGTTTGAACATGTTCATAATAAAGAGGCGGGGAACAATAGAGATGAAAAGGTATTATCTCTAGGTAGATGAAACTCAAAAATCAGTTGTTAAGTTAAAATAAATAAATAAATAAATAAATACCACCAGGGCCGGGGATTTAGTTCAGTGGTTCCAGTGCCTGCCTCACAAGCACAAGGACCCGAGTTCAACCCTTGGTACCAAACAAAAATAAAAACCGTAAGAAGTTAGAGAGTGGGATGGCACAAGACTGTAATTCCAGCACTTGGGAGGCTGAGGCAGGTGTTCAAGGCCGGCCTTGGCTGCACAGTGAATTTGAGGCCAGCGTCAATTACAAAGTGAGGCCCTGTCTCAAAAAAAGAAAAAAAAAAAGCCCCAGCACTTGGAAGGCTGAGGTCAGAAGGACGGTGAGTCCTCAGCCAGCTAGGACAACGTAACGGGGCCATCTCAAAAAAAAGGTAAAAATACATAAAACAAAATGCAAGGCAGTCTGCTGGCTGACTAAAACCAGAGAAGTAATAGTTAATTCTCTTCAGTCCTACGTGCCAGGCTCCATACTAAGCATTTAGCGTCTCATGCCACCATGTGAGTTCAGTACCGTGAGAAGTCTTACTTTATTGAAGAGGTAACTTAAGGTTTGAGAAATTAAACTCATCCGGTAAGCGGCTGAACTGAACTCCAGCTCCCTCATGGCTCACCTTCTTGCCCACCACCCGTGATCTGGCCTTTCCTGGTGCTCCTGGGAATGTCTTAGCATGTTCTCCTCTCTCCCTGCCTGATTATCCCTGGCTCCTTCGGCTTCAGTGTTCCTACTGCAGTCCTGCCCGGACACTCCAGTCTTATTCTTGATCAGGTGTCCCTTCCCTTCATGCCACCCATCAAAGCTGACGAAACACTGTGTTTTCACCAACACACTCACTGATCTCTGCCACTAGAGTATAAACTTCCCGAGGGCAAGGACATGCCCCCCATGCACATCCACACACAGAAGGGGCTGCGCATACTTGTTGAATACCTGTGCCTAGCCCAGGTGTGTCTGTGTGCTGAACCACCCTCCTCCCTCCCTGAGTGATCCACCTGTCCCAGTGAGTGACTGTGAAGACACCAGCTGGCCACCTGCCTGCCTCTTTCCTGACCCTCGAATTGTGCAACCCTGGTTGCCCAGGCCCTGCTTTCTGCCTTCGCGGCTCTCTGGCCTCTTCCCTCTGGATTCACCAGAGGCGGCAGTAGATCACCTTTACCTGTATCCTGGCCAAGCAGAAGAGCTTGGTGAGACCAGATGAGGCTTAATCCCCAGGTTTGTCATCAACTCCTGACCTCTCCATTCTGTCCCACTCTCCCTAGCAAGCAGGCATTTGACAAACAACTCTGAAAATAGTTTTGGTTTTTTTTATACTTGTTTTTTGTTTTTGTTTTTGTTTTTGGTACCGGGGATCGAACTCGGGTCCCTCCGCTTGCAAGGCAGGTGGTGGAACCACTGAGCTAAATCCCCAGCCCGTTTGTTTTTTTTTTTAAATCTAGTATAGACACAATGGGAGGCATAAAGCAGACCCAACAAAAACATACTACTAACAAAGGCCGATCTTTGTTGAGCACTTGCTACACAGCAAGTTTTGGGCTGAACATTTTATATTTCTCATTAGCCACAAAAAATTCTGATGCATGCACTCACATTTTACAAATGATGAGATGAAGGGCAGAGGGAAAGTCTATACCCCAGGGTCACGTTGTGGTAAGTGGCACAGCTGGGACTGAACTAGTCTGTCCAGCTCCTGTGCCTGCACTTTCTTCATCCTTTTCTCTTATGCCAACCCCTTGCCTCGAGGTAAGCGCAATAAACATAGCAGGTCTAACTCTATTCTAACATCTCTGTTCTAATTTACCCAGAACCCTGGGAGACAGAGCTCCATTCACAGACACATCTCCTTGTGTCCTGCTCAAGAGCCCCAGCCTGCAACTCTTACCCAAAGAAACAAGGAAGGAAGGTGTGAAATGAAACTGCAAATGCTTTAGAATCTACTAAAAAACACATAAAAAACCAGCAATAGTTTGAGACAGGACAGAATACTTTCTTAAGACAGGAGCTTTAGACTGCGGGGTTGGGGATGCTCCCAAGTTGTGGCCATAGAGTATCAGTCCTGAAAGTTGGTCCCCACTTCTGCCAAAATATGTTTCTGGGGCCAAATCATAGTCACACCCCATTAGGTCCCTCAGCACATTAGCAAAGTGAAGGCTCAGAGTACTGAAGGTCCAGAGAGGTTTCCCACATGGACTGGCTCAGAGTCCTTTTCTACCTTGCTTCAGTGATCACAGCAAAAATAGGGGGGCTCCAGAAGCTCCCCTCTGCAGGGGGACAGAAGAGGCCAGCACTCCTTCCAACAGTAGGGAAGCCTTCTGCATCAGTTGAGGGCCACTGCCCACAGCCAGTTAACACTGAAGGCTGAGACCAACCGTCTTAAGAGAAGGAAGGGAGTGTTCGAGGTTGTCCTTTAATGTCACTCATTCATGACTCAACAGGATGTAAAAAGGCAGAACTTCATTAACTAGCTGAACAAGAGTGACCCCAACTCTGGTTAAACTGAAGGGCCTGTTTCTGTAGTGGGGTTGTCCCCAGCACAGGTTATAGGGGAGCTGGGGTGTGGATGGGGTTTTGCTGTCTCATCTGACCGGCCTGAGAACATCATGGAAATTCTCTGAACCTTAGTTTTCTGGCCTGGAGAATGGAATAACACCTCCTTTCTAAGCCTGTCCTTAGAGTTACATGAGATTACATAATTAAATATGTCACATACCAGCTACCCAAAAATAGATACCTCAGTTTCCCTGCTGTGTTCAGCCTGCACTCCCCAGTAGGAGCAGCCCTGGATTCCTAGAATAAATGAACACAGCCCATCTGCCTGGAAGACTGTCTTACTCTACCGCAATAAGTTCACTATTATCAGAGCAAACACAGATTTATATGATTAGAATATGAAATGCGAATCTATTTTCTATATCAATTGGAAGATTTATTTCCATGATTCTTTGGGTACAGATGAATTCACTTTTAAAGTGAGGAGTCCCTCACTCAAAGTTCAGAGGAAGAATTAAAGCAAGGCATTTCAGTTTCTCCTGGGGTAAGACTGCAGAAACAACCATTTCAAAAGATTAATATACTGTACTAATATCCCCATGTTGTCTTGCGTAATGTAATAAATACTCTTACCTTCTGTCTCAGACCTCAAGGTGATAAGGGTACAAGAAAGTCTATATAACAAATAAAACTTTATGCGAATGTACAGTGGCTTCCAAGAGCTACTCAAAGAAAGTCAGGGTATGGGGACATTTGCAATGATGACTGACTGGATTTTCCCATTGAAACCTTGGGGAAATCAGTAAAAAAAATTGAGTCATAAGAATTAACACACACAGAAAAAGATGCAACCTGTAAAACATCTTCATGGAAGTGGCCTATATGTCCTTTAACAGATGAATGGATCACACAAGCTTAAATGTCCTACGGTTTCTCTTACATAAGAAGCCCAAAATATAAAGAAAAGAGCAAAGCAAAAGGCAGTGGGAAAGGCAGTGGGAAGGCCAGAGATGTAACTCAGTGGTGCAGCACCTGCCTGGCAAGTACAAGGCCCTGAGTTCGATTCCTGGTGCCAAAAAAAAAGACAGTAGGAAATAGGGAGATAGATCTTTTTGCAAATGGGAAAGGGACCAAGAGATGTTGGGAGTGGGGAGAGAAGGAAGTATTTTAAAAAGAATTACGATGTGTGATCCAACTACCCACAATGAATGTACCACAAACATTACCAAAATGAAACAGAAACATCAACAACAAAAAAAATAGACCTTCCACTTTCTAAATTGAAAGTCCCAAGACCCAGGAACACCCCTCAGTCCCCCATGATTTGGGATGATGAGGAATACTCCCCAAACAGAAGCCCATTTATGTTTTGTTGTTATTTTTTTGTTTTGTTTTGTTTTTGAGACAGAGTTTTGCTACATAGTTCAGGCTGGCCTTGAACCTTGAACTCACTATATAGCCCAGGCTAGCCTTGAACTTGCAGTGATTCTCCTGCTTCAGCCTCCCCAGTGCTGGGATTACAGGTGTGTACCACCACACTTGGCCCATTTATGTTTAATAATCACGATGAACATGAGAGATAGAGCTGTGCACAGTTTGTATCAAACTGCTCAACAGCAGTGTCTGGGTCAGGTAGGAAAGACAGGCAAGGATACATCCTATTTGACTCTGTTTGTTCTGCTCGTTACACATTTTTTAAACCCTGAAAGAAAATCATGCTTTCCTAGCAGTGTAGGGCCACTACAAATGCTTTAGAATCTACTAAAAAAACACATAAAAAACCAGCAATAGTTTGAGACAGGACAGAATACTTTCTTAAGGCAGGAGCTTTGGACTGTGGGGTTGGGGGTGGTCACAGAACTGCTCTTAAATGGGCTATGGAACTGATGAGAGAGCATGCATGCCCTTCTCCATCTACACTTACACTACCTTGAAGTCTTCTGAGCTGTATCCCTCAAACCTAACAAGAATCGCTGGTCTCCTAGAGACCCCAAGTGCCCTCACTGTGTGGGGCCGTTCTCTGCCCTACTTCCTTCCCTCTCCTGGGATGCTGGTTCTGTGGTCGCAGACCCAGGCAGGGTGAGCTGACTTACCGCTTGACCCCTCAGCCAGGCTTTTCCCATTTCTTCCTCCCTCTCAGCTGTGCCTTCAGGTCTGTCTTCCATTTTTTGTTTCTGAGGGCCTGAATATAAGCCTGATGGCTGATCGCTGCTGTGACTATAAATGTCACTTTTAGATTAACCAACCCCTGTGGTTTAAAAATATCCCTGGAACATTTAACCTTCAAGGCACTGACCAACACCAATAACCCAGGCATAGAAGAAAACAATCCCATGCCAGACTAATTGAGTGGTGGCGCTGGCCACTCTGGGAGACGTTTGTTTTCCACTTTTCAATCCTATAACTTGTTTTATTACAAAATTCTTAAGAGATCTAAGCACGAGGTATCTGAAATCCCAATTGTCATCAGCAATAGGAACAAAGTAATTTTGGCCCTCTTGGGACATGCTAAAAATGAACTTGCCCACAAGTCATGGTCATTTGAGATACAAATGGTGTCAAGCTCAAATGAAGAAGTTGATTCCTTTCAAAGATCCCCTGGCTCCTCTCTTCAGAGCTTTGGTGAAACTGTCTGAAATTGTGCCATTGAACGGAATATTTCCAATTTCTTGAGATTTGGGGGGAAAAAAACAAAAAAGGCTCCCATCCCATTTATGCTCACTGGCTTTTGCCAGCGGAGGAAACCAGCACATTCGGGGGTTAAAAGGTGTTCTCAGACATGTGGGGCAAAGGTCACCTCCAGGTCCCAATGCAAGCAAGCAGCAGGTGACAGGCAGGCAGAGGACCACACAGAGGTGCATTGTTTTAAACAAAGGAAAAGAGAGGAATTGAATTCAGTGGCCCTGATTTCTATACACAAAGATGAACCTGTATTAAACACCAAGTGGAAAAAATGGGCTAAAACACTGAATCTGTGCAGAATGGTTTCAAGTGCTGTGGTAGCAGGCATCATCCTACCTGGGCTGCTTCACTCGTGGGCTTATTTTCCAGTAAGAAAAAGTCATCAAATACTAGGTGTTTGGGGCTGGGCATGGAATTTGAGGCAGGAGGAATGCAGTTCCAGGCTGGCCTGGACTATGTAGCAAGTTCAAGGCCAACAAATAAACCACCTTGGGACTTTCTCCACTGGAACTGGGAGCAGGATGTGGACTTTGTACCTGTTGCTCATGCTGAAGTCATTGGCTGAGACTTGGGCAGCACCAAGTACGCTCTGCAGGATGAAGTAGTGCAGTCCAAGTGTTTAACACTGAAATAGGACAGGGACCTTTCACGAGGTCAGGAGGATAGAGGGATCCTCAGGCCTTGGCCTGTTACCTGTTACACACTAAAGGGGAAGACGTGTCTCTTTCCCTTGCTAATAATGTGCAGAATTCACTCTCCTCTAACCCTCTACTTTTATTACAAGGGACAGGTTTGTGATGAAAACAGGGGCTGCCAAGTTGTCTCCAAGGGTGAGAATGGCCAATAATCTATGTCCTAAACTGGTAGGAAGTCACCGAAAAATCCAAGAAAAAGACTCAAAAATCACCATACTCATGGGCTGGGGGTTTAGCTCAGTGGCTCCACACCTGCCTCGCAAATGCAAGGTCCCAAATTCAAGCCCCGGTACCAAAAAAAAAAAAAAAGAAATCCTCCAATAACAAATGCTGGTGGGCGGGACTTTGAAGAAAAAGGAACACTTCTCCACTGCTGGCTCGAGCACAGACTGGTGCAACCACTGTGGAAATCACTATGGAGATTCCTCAAAGAACTAGGGAGTTATTCACCTGCTGATTATCTTCCCAAAAGAATTAAAAGCATCACACCTCAGTGATATAGATTCCCATGTGTGTAGTGGCACAATTTGTAATAGCTAAACTGTAACAGCCCACATACCCACCAACTGGTGACTAGATAAAGGTGATGTGGTGTTAATAAAATGAAATGGATACACATTGAGGCCATACTCAAGCTAAATAAATGGGACACACATGTAAATAGTTTTCGCTGGTGTGAGTGAGAAACTGAAAGCATAAATGAGGACCAAAATGTATAACGTGAAATAGAAAGAAAAGGCCCAAAGGGGAAGTGGAGAGGGGGTATGGGGGAAGGAACCAAGGGAAATTAAAAACATGAGAAAAGGTAAAAATAGAAATAAAATTTTTGTAAATGGGGAGGGGTAAAGGGGTAGAAGGGAGGGATGGGGAATGGGAAAAAAACAAGAACCAAGATATATCATGTATAGGCACAAATTTCCAATGATGAGTATCATCATGATGTATACCTAAAATGTACTAATAAACTTAATAAGAAAAAAAAATTTTTTTTTTCTATTTAGAAGAAAAATTCTTTCCTGGGCTGGGAGTACAGGTCAGTGGAAGAGCACTGGTATAGCATGTGAGGTCCTGGGTTCTTAAAAATCTTCCCAACGATGCCATTAATTATAACCTAAGCAGAATGTTGACAGTGGCAAAATGAGGCTTTAAAATCAGCCTGGCATGACTGTTTTTACCTTGATGTTACCCATTACTTTGAGCCTGAATGTTCTTATCAAGTACTTTGTACAGGTGAGAAAATGAATATACACTGAGCCTCTAGCATGATGTCCTGCTCCTTACAGGCATTTATTATCTTTCTAACAAAATTCAGTATTTTCTGGGCCAGGGATTTAGCACAGAGGCACTGTGCCTGCCTCGCAAGTGTCAGGTTCTGAGTTTGATTCCCAGTACTAAAAAAAAAAAAAAAATCCAGTATTTTCCAAGGGACTAGACACACAGTTAAAGAACTCCATTCTGTGGCTTCTTCTCCCTTGACCTTATCTCTTTAAAATGTAGATACTTTCTAGAACAAATGGAATTAACTTATGATCTCTTTCCACCAAACACAAGAATAGAAACATATTTCTTCAAAACTACCCTGGATTTAGAAAGTCATACATATCCAAGTTACCTGCTAAGATTTAAAAACTCATTAGGTGATCACCTAGCTGATAGGTCCTGCTGCGGACCAGACACCTTAAACACGCATGTGTCTGCTGCCCACTGAAATCAGAATTTCTAGTAAGTGGAGTCTGCATTATTATTCTGTGGTCCGGGACATGGAACCTAGGGCTCCACACAAGCTAAGCAAGCGCTCTATCGCTGAATTGCATCCTAGCCGTGCATTAATTTTTTTTTTTGTTTGTCCAAGTTCCAGGAGCACTAACCACTTTTTGGAAGCCTCCTGATCTCCCTTCACCTCACCCCAAGTACCACTAACTGAGAGACAAGGAACAGAGGAAATACATAGCTGAGAAGCAAAGATCAGAAGGTACTGCTCTCCTGGTCTGGCCCACTCACCAGTACTCTCATTTCCACCATCAAAAATATAAAGACTAAACCAGGTATGTTGGCACACACTTGTAACCTTGGGAAGCTGAGGCAGGAGGATGCCAAGAGCAAGCTCAGCCTGGACAATTTACTGATGAGACTCTGTCTCAAAAAAAATAAAGGTCTGGGGTGTGAGGGCCTTAAGTTCAACCCCCAGTACTTATGTACATGTGTCAAGAGTACATGCCTAGCATGTGTAAAAGCCCTGATTCAGTCCCCAGTATGGTAAAAAATAAATAATTATTTAAAAACTGGTTCCAACTGAGATAATCTAGAAGGTGTGAGATCCAAATTAAAGCATCAGAAGGACTCTACAGGGAAAACGTAGCCATTTCTAGAAGGCAAAAATACCAGTGTTTCAGCTTAGGCAGCCCAAGATGACATCCAAGGTCCCTCCAAAAGTAGCCCAGTACTCCCCTCCCTGTTTTTCTTCAGACACCTGGAAAGTTCAGCATGGACAAAAAGTCACTGCCACTCACCTACACCAAAAAGTTTGCTTCTCCACCAAAAATCTTTCCCAATACTACTTTTACCAGGAGGAAGCTAAGGCAGACAGTGAATTCTAGGGAAAGAGAATGCACCATCTGAATGCAAGCTTAACACATTACTTTAAAAAAAAAAAAACTCACAATCCCATCAAGACTTTGCCCCACCAGATTCAAATCAAAATCAGGTAGTGAACTTTCACACAATTATTTTACAACTTGGGGTTCTGAGGATGGCATTTGCATCACTACTTTCCCTAGGTTACCAATCTCATAGCCGAAAAGCCAAGCCATGAGCAGGTCCTCTCCTTTATACCTGGGGTCATGGATGTTCTGGGAGTCCCACACTGTGCCCCGTGGAGCCTTCCAATTAGTACACGGCACTGTGTCCCAGCTACCTGGTCTTGAACAGGCTGCTTTTCTCACAGAATGCTGTCTTTCCTCTTCCTGGCCTGGATATCATCTTTCAATATGCAGCTCAAGCATTCCCTCCCTGGGGAATTTCTTCTTTCCCGTGCTGACTCAGGGCTTTCTTTTTTGTTTCCACCCTGTCAAGACAGTGGGAGCACTCAATGACAAACTATGACTCTCGAGTTAGGAGTGAATTTTTGTCCTTTGAGATACTGGGGATTGGACCCAAGGCCTCAAGCAAAACCCAGGGAAGCACTCTTACCATTCTTTTATTTATTTTCATTCTTTTACATTTTGAGACAGGGTGTTACAAGGTTGTCCAAGCTGGCCTCAAACTCGCTAGCCTCCTGCCTCATATTCTCAAAATAGCTGAGATTACAGGCTGGCCTCAATGCACATAGCTACAAGTGGTTTTTGTATTTGTTAAATCAAAACTATGATACTCCCTGGGCATGGTGGCACATACCCATCTGTAATTCTAGCACTGGGGGAAGCCAAGGCAGGAAGATCACAAGTTCAAGCCCAGCCTGGGTAACTTAGTGACTTAACAAGACCGTGTTTCAAAATTAAAAAGTGCTATGGCCAGGGATTTAACTCAGTGGTTCCACTGCCTACCTCACAAGCACAAAGACCCAAGTTTGATCCCTGGTACCAAAAAAAAAAAAAAAAAAAAAAAAAAAAAAAAAAGGACGGGGGAAGGATCCCCAAAAA